GGTCATTCCCTTCAGTCGATTATAGAAATATCTATAAACAAGGTATGCCTACGAACAGGAAGCACTATCTCACATCTAAATCGAGCTCTAAATAGGCTAAACATAGCAAGGAAAATTCATGCATAGTCCTTTTCCGCAGTGAGAGATATAATTGTATCATCGATCTGATTGAACGGTTCAATCGACTTTACCTGGCCAAAAAGCTAACTACAAATAGATGAGTCATAGATGATAGAATGCCTAACGGCGATCCCGGACGTAAAACTCGGGACATAATGATTCTTGCAGGGAGCCTATCGGAAAGACTGACAGCTATAATGCAGGAAACGTCACAACAGGAAACATTTGGAAAGGACAAACAGTTAAGACAAACGGCAAGACGTCCAGTAGGTGCATTCCACGTACTTTTTCCACCAAAAAAATGGTAGCGAATAAACGCCTGTAGTCTATTGGTACACTATATATAGATATATGGATTTAAAGTGTATTTATATATACATATATTAGTGTAGGGCATAAAGCTCTATACACATACAACGGTCGTGTTGGTTTGCCTTTCCTCCTACTATATATAATCATAAACAGATTTAAAAAAAAAACGATGGATTTTGTCTCACAGTTAGCCCTTAGTTAGATTCATTCCAATCAATCAGTCAATCAATATACCACATTTATATGTACAAAGTAAGACAATTCTGTTGTTAGCTAATATGTCTGCTATGATTTGTCTACTTGCCAGGTCGTCCACGTTTTCTCGGTATTGTCGTAACATTTGATCACTATATATATATATATATATACATATGACGTCGTCTATAACAAGTCGACATATAATGGCGTACTGTTTTACAGGCGTCTTCATACGCTTCAGCTAGAGTCTAAATACTGTTTTGCACCGTGTTTAGAAATTGTCTGCAGAAAAACCATAATTAAGATATCTGCTGTTTCGTTCATAGGCAAAAACCTATTCATGTATAGTTCAAGGTAGCGCTCGGGCTGTAATTTAGGTGTGCGTGATGGACGTTGCCTGATCCAATTTTCTTTTACGACCCACCGCGCAGTCGTTTAGGCGGCAGGGAGAAAGGGCACTGATTTCAGTTTCTTCCTGCCAGTTCTCCTACTGCTGATATCTATTGTATTGACGATTTCGTACCAGTTACGCATGTCTATGAATAATATTCTTTATGTAGACATGTCAACGGTCTGTTCATCTCCTAAATTGTTCAATCCTACATTTGTCTCCTACATTGCCACTAACACAGAGCTCCCAACATGCTAATACCCTAAAAACTAGTTAGTTTCGACTACATAAGTGTTACATGTTACGTTTGCGGTTATTCGTTAAGTCTTGTGAATGTCACCCTTCAGGATACGGTAGAACGTTTTTTTGAATTGCTGATTCGCAAGAGCGTAACAAAACGGATTGATCGGACTATTGGCGTAGCAGAGAAAGTAAGTGAAATAGAATAGGTGGTGGTTGACGCAGCCACCGGCGCTGCGACAGAAACCCTCGACTAGCGCACACACGTGATAAGGTGTCCAGCAGATAACAAACGCGCCTAGGATGAACGAAATTGTGCGCAAGGCTTTACGAGCGCGATTTTCGCTTTTCGACTTTTGAGGACGTTTTTCCCGGCTACGCCTCTTACGCAGCCGTTCGCTGAATGATGACATGATCTCGCGACGCGAACGGTTCGTCGACGCCGAACGCGACAAGCCTACGGTTCCACTGCTGCTTCCCCCGCCGCCGCCGCCGCCGCCGCCGCCGCCGCCGCCGCCGCCGCCGCCGCCGCCGCC